CACACACACACACACACACACACACACACACACACACACACACACAATGTAGAGATTCTAATAGTAGATAGAAAAGGCCAACTGCATTGGCTAGTGGGTGGTTATTGGACCGTTAAACATTGATTAGGACTCTCTGATATGTGTAGACAGACGTTTTACTATTAAATTGAAATCTTTGTTGCTTTTCAGAAAATTAATTAAAGGCGAACAAATGCTTTAATAGTTGGGAAATTAAAATTCTTATTGAAAATTGGCTGCAACTACAATAACATCTGACGATGATAATATTAGAAGCGGCAACTCATACAAAAACAACAACAAAAACACTAACAACACCAACAAGAACAAGAACAACAATAACAATACAAAAGCTAAATAAAACTTAATTAAATGTGAATATGGTTTAAATGATTGACTGCAATAGGCATGATTGAAATTGTAAAACGGGCATAAACGACCTATAGTCAAGTAGTTAGCGAAGCGAATGAAATATCATTTCACTTTGTATGCTTCTAGGTGCATTGTTTCAATAGTTTGGAGCACAACAAGCTAAAAATAAACCTTGAATATACCGGTATGCCGTAATCACTTTTCCCCATTCGGTGCGCGTGTGTGTTTCATTGAATTCGCAGACACTGAATTAAAAACGTATTTGCTGTCATTTCGTTGATTTTTTATTTATTTTATCTGTTTTTTTTGTTTTTTTTTTTCATATTTTATTTACTCTCTTGCTAGAAGAGGAACATACCTAGCTAAGGCAAATTGAGATTTTAGGCAAAACGCTTACATCGAATACGGATGCACTGTAATAGCTGACTACCGGTGAAGTTTGCTCAGGCAAAAGTCGATAGGGAGACAAGACATTGCGATAATAAGGAGCTTCGAGGATATAAGAGCTCTAAGAGAATATCTCGTGATAACCTATGCCGTAATCGCAATGGCTTGAGAGATGAAGGAGAAGATTCGAAAAAGATTTGCCGAAGAATAAATGCATTTTATTTCATTAATTTTCACGACTTCACTATTACGCCGCGAAGTCGCTGAATAGACTGATTAGAGGACATTAGTAGGCGATCATAAGATGCCTAGACTATCAACCATGCAAGGTACATGGCAGTATTTTTGAGCTTTCAGGAAAAACGAAAGGGACCTATCCCCTTCCCCCAAACGCACGCCCATACATAAACACATAATAGTTATATACATTCCATTTACAGAAATCGAAGGGGTCAGTTCATTTAACCCGAGGAGTTAACAGGCGGATATATATATATATATATATATATATATATATGTACATTGTTTTATCCAATCAGTTCCATTAAGAATATATATAATGTACGGAATGCACTCAAGTCCCCTTTGATGCGGCACTTTTATTATGCGATCTTCATATAACGCGAAGCGAAACTTGGGAGAGTTCTTTCATAACTCGCCTCCCTATCTCTCCTACCTTCGTTCAAGAACATTTCAAATGGCTTCACCAATTTATCTACGACTGGCATTATTAAGTGTGCTAAGTTGTTATTGTTCAGTTTTATAGGTTATTCTCCCATCCTGATTCCAAGGAAATTGCGTCAAAATTACATTGCATTCTCTTAAAATCTTATTTACTTCTGAGATTTGATATAAAGCGGCATGAATAAGTAACGCGTAACGCGGTATAATTTAATCTGATTTGTGTCTGAATTCTAGATTTTTCTTAATACGGTTTCCGCAGAATATATTTACTCGGAATAATAGAATTAATTCCGAGTGACGGTGCGAAAGAATTAAGTAGGAGACAGTGGACGAGTGTATATGATGCACGCTTTCTATAAAAATTTAAAAAGTTTATTATATTGTTAAAATTCGAAGTGATAACACCTTTATGTGTAGTGGCCATGACACAGATAATCGGAGGTGTTATTATAATAAATGTTTAACACCTAGGCTTTACATTAGACAGTGCTACATCTTGTTTACTTCATCATCGTCTTTTCACATAAATTCCCCGATTTGAGAATCAAATAATTATATTTCTATGATGATTTATAAATAAATCATAGAAATTATATGAAAAGTCAACAAGATTAGTGTTGAATATCTTGTAGATAAGCAATTATATGAACAGACAAAAATAACTCTTGAAGAGAAAATAAATACAAATTTCATCCATGATTTCTCTCAACTGCTTTAGATAATTTGTATAAAATGCAAAAAAAAAAAAAACTTAATTTATATATATTTTCATTTTTATTTCTGTTTTTTTTTTCTATTCGTAGCAAAATGTTCGCCCTGTGGTATTTAACTTTTGCTATTGATGAAATGCGGTAAGTAGGCTTAACAAGCAAAAGTAATGTAATGAGTGAAAAATATTATTGAACACTCTGTGAAAGCTTTTTATTTGCAATTTAATTTTGTTTTTGCAAAAGTTCTTTTTCTCTTTTGTGTTCTCGCATATTGTAGCATATGTTGAGGAGGCAATCGTTAAAAAAATCTACTGTTCACATATGATGAGTGAAAGTGTATAGTGGAAAATTTTCATCAATTCAATTGAAAAGCTAGAAACTAAACTAATGCGTAGATTTCCTATAAAAAGATTTATCAAAATTATTTTTGTATAGCGGGAAGTTTGAATTATCCACTATTTCAATCTGATTTATAAAAATGAAGAACATTTTATGATTCGTTCGTATATCAATACCAGTTGGGCGATCAATACCATTTTTTCATTAAGTATTTGGATTGACCTCTGCAATCGGCTGCATACTATTATTGTCATTTTTCTTGCGAGTGCTTATTTGCAAAACTGGACCTGGAATTGTTTACCAGCCATATAATTTTCCAGTTTCGAAAGTCTGCGCAAATTTTTGCGACCCCGAACGCTTCCAATAGTAAGTTGGCGATTCGCAAGTCTCCAAATAGTATATGCCAGTGGCGCTATAAGATTTGCTAGATTTCTTCTTGCAGATTAGAACACAAGAAGGCTGCAAACTAAAATCCATAAGAGAATTTTTTGCTAAAGCCAGTTGTACGTATCAATGAAAGTCAATAATAAATTGAGTCTAAACATTATCTCAAGTAACCAACATCAAAAATTTTATAGGCTTTATTTTGCACAAGCGATGAGTTAAAACTTGCTCTTGCCTTAATTTATTTGGCTTGTAGTCTTCAATTGTGCAAATGCTACTTAAAATGACAACACTTTGCTTGTTCCGTTCTACTCTTTAAGCCTCCTTATTTAATGCCAAGATCAAAATTTCAATAGAATTGTACATAGGGAACACTGCTGATGCAAAAGCTAGTTACATAAGAGCTTATAAAATGGGAAAATTATATTTATAAAGCATGTTGTTCACCACCCGGACATGTCTATTGGTTATTGGGGAGTACTTTCACACGTTAATTTAATTAATAAGTTATTTATTAATTCAAATATTTTTCTTTCTTTGCTTTTTCTATGAGTTTCAACCGGCGGGTATTTAAAATTCGCTTCAAGTTTGTTACAATTTTCTCACATATCGTACGTGAGTGCTCTTGTTGTCAAGCAGAGTCTATCTCGCTTTTACCCAAGCTTTAACTCTGGACGGATTCATTCTTTAATTGGATATTTGCTTATCAAATTTCGTTTACAACATTCGCAGTTTACATGGCCATATACAATACAACACGGCTTCTTAAAAGAAACTGACTCGTAAAGGTTTTGAAGTAAATTGAAATTGAGAAAAAGAAATTATAATAAGCAACTATTCGACCCCTTTTATCAGATATATACATATATATGCATATATATATATATATATATATATATATATACTAAAAATAAATTGAAGCAAACAATTTGAAAACAAACAAACTGTAAACTGTGACATATGAAATTGCGTCATCTTTTCATTTGATGATATATAAATCGTATGAAAATAATTATAATGTACTTTACACGTCAGTGAATCATTACCGTCTGTCTCTAATAAACAAAGTATTGCGGTAATTAATTGTGTTTGTATTAATTCTCATATTAAATATATGTTATTAGCAGATTTTCATGAATCTCGTTACTCGCTCCCAAAATACATATTTAATAAATTATTACGGTTAAATGCTCTTCTTATGTACTGCTAAAATTGTTAGCTTATTAGCACTTCAGCGAAAAAAGTAATAAATTATTATCTAATCGTTTCACGTATACAGATAACTAATAAAAACTCATCGTCTTCGTCATCGCCATCGTCATGTGATTGATAAATACTCTTTAGTTTCTTTTTTCATTCCGTTTGTATATGTATGCCCGAATATAATAACCAGTCATTGCAATAGAAGTGAGCTCGTGAAACACAAAAGCACTGTCTTTTAAAAAATTATACCCTGCACTATTTGTACAGGGTACAGGGTATGTTAAGTTTGTTCAGGCGTATGTAACACCCAGAAGGACTTAAGGTAAGCCCACCTTCACAATACACCGATCGATTCGAAATCATTTTCTTAATCTGCGTGTCTGTCCACATACTTTTGTGTTTAACACTGACCCAACCAAGCTTTCAACCAAGCACGAATGCTATTGCAAATAGTTTGGATCGGTTTCGTTTTTCGATCATGACTCCCTTTGAAAGGCGTGTTATGGAAGAAAATTGCAAATTCGCGAAATTTCACGACAAAAGTCGCGTAGGTAGTAGTATTTTGGCATTCTAAATTGGTGTAAAAAGCTTGGATTAGATGGGCCATTTATTTTGAACTCCCTCTTATGTAACTTTCGAAAACGAAAACTTGATGTGGTAAAAAAATCGAATTTGCAATATTTCACGACGGAAATTGATTCATAATAGTAATCTGGCAAAGAAATCAATCTTAGTGAGTTTGGACTACATAGGTCTACTTTTTAAATATCACAGCATATAATGATGCTTAGGGAATCTAAGCCCCTATATATGATATAAAAATTAAGCGGACCTAATATGAAGCACATGAGTCTATTTCTTGGACATCGACTTCATGTAATGTTTCCCTTGAATGGTATACCCTGCAGAAAACGGTTTAATTTTTAATATTTTATTGGTCAATAGTAGCAATTTAGCAGAAAAGTTAATAGCAAGAAATTTGAATCACATAGACGAATTTTTTAGACATGCCAGCCTCTCATGAAAAGCCAGCCCTTACATGGAGAGAAAGTCTAATTTTTTGTTTGCTAAATTTGGACGGCGTCATGTGTTGTTTCGGGCCTACTTCAATATGCGAGCTTTCATGGAAAGTATGCCTTCGCATGAAATTAATATGGGTGTAGGGTATCTATGGTCAGTTTTGCCCCTCCATAATAATCCACAATTATATTTGAATATGTAATATGAATGTTTGTTTGTACCTTTGATGTTATCTCAATGTAGATTGATCGTAGATTAACGTGAGAAGATTAGCGAGTTCCGAATCCATTAAAAATCTTACAAGTCATCTGAAAATTAATTTGTCAGGAAGTAACCTCAGAAATGGACGAAATAGAAGAAGAAAAAAAAAAAGGAAAAAGCAACACATTAGTCGAATAGGGCTCTCTCAATAGACATTGCTATTCTGGAGACGATTAGCCAAATTTAAGCTTCAATATTATAGGCGAAAAATTGCCAAAAAAACGGCCAAAAATTTTTTCGAGCCGTTCGCTTGATCCGCTTTTTCGTTTCATATATTCTTTCTTAAGTGAAATAGTTAAACGCTTCATTTTTGGTTCCAATATTTCAAAAGATACGAACTTCATTGCATAAAAAAAATATACTGGAGCTCATGGCAAAACTTCATATCGTTCGATATAATGTAACATTAGTTGGGAACAAATCGTTTGTAATATTGGCCGCCATCGTACACTCTTGATGAGTGTAGCTAAAAAAATTCTTTACTTATAAAATTACCTAATATGTCTCCCGACTGATACCCGTATGGTAGGTCCATATGATTTCTGAATAGTGTTAACCTTCGAACGATACGTGTGAAAATTTCATTATATCTCGATCATGAGTTTTTAAGTTACAGTAGCTAAAGTGTTCTTGTTGCTTTGGACGGGTTTCGTCGGTTACTGTCGAGCCAGCCAGCCAGCTGGCTGCCGATTTGACTCTGCAGCGTAATGATCAACGCCGAACCCGGGCGACCGGATTGTTCAGCATCATCGTTGTCCATACGGCTGTATATAAGATTAGCAAGCCACATACAGCATAAAGAACTATAACTCTGGAGAATGCCTCAAGAAATTTTGACACGATTCGCCAACGATACCGTATACGGGTCACACTGGTGCGCTCGAATGGTGGATTGGAAGCGACATCGCAGCGAGCATCGGTCGATTGAATTTCTTCTACTCAGCACATGAGGCACATGAAAACCAATCTGAATCTCGATATACTTATACCAATTGGTGGTTGATTATTCCCAAAAATATGTTACCAAATAATTAGTAATTGTTAAAACCCCGCCGATTATTCAACAAACAGTTCGACTGTTGTCTAAGGCCAAATTAAACTGGTCCACGTTGCTACTGCTTTAGGCAATAAAGTATAGTATAGCATAGTATAGGAAACAGCATGACACTAACTTCGCATGTAAACAAGTCAAAAATGCATGTTTGTGTAATTGGTTAAATTTATCGTTTGTTCATATTTTAGCTGAAAAATATAATAAATAAAAATATTAAAGGTTTTTACACTTCAATGTCAGATTTCGAACATTGTTAATTGAACTTGGGCTTAACAGGAGAAGCAAAGAGAGCAGTTATATTGAATTGAACGGAAGGAACGGAAGAGTGTATTTCAAGTTTATCTCTCCCGCATTTATTACTCAAAATGTCAATAAATAATTTTGTACAATTATGTGCGCAAGATTATCTGCATTTTGATTGCTTCAAACATTAGTTATCGGAAGGAGTTAGAGCACTAATAAAGCATATCTTAATCAACGATAAACTTGACAATACTTCGAAAACTTTTCTTCCTTTTTTTCAATATGACTGAATAAGCATGTTTCATATGCGGCATTCGTCATTTTTATTTGCACAAATCTCTTCCGAAATTTCCTACAAAAATTAATTCATTTAAAAAATGCTTTAGGTGAAAATTTCTAAACAAAAAGAAAAAAGAAAAATAAAATAAAAACAGATTTTCTTTTAAACCGATTCTCTCGCTATTACTGTGGCATCACTCTTTCTGATATCTAACGGCGGCAGCCGCATTTAATGCTTCATTCGTCGAAGCTCACGCGATAAATGTAAGCGTTAGCCAGCGCGTACCCACATCGCTATCTATCGAGCGAGTGAATATGGGCTTAACTCTACCTTCGGGCCAGGGCGAAATCTATCTAACACCTTAAATAATAAATCCTCCCGTGATTTTCAGCTAATCGTTGCCACCGCGAAATTTCTCTGTAGGAGACGTCTTGAGCGGTAACGACTCTGTCGCTGCCATACCCATATTCTGCAAATGATAAAAACTACGAGTAACTATTTTTCGCAAAACGACGCTCATAGCTCGGACTATGATACTTGTAGATTATCGGCAATATCGGTTCGGATTGTTCATACTTTATGCATTGCCATCTACCTTTTCTCCATATATTTTGAATGCACAAGAAAAAGTATCGACGCGACAAGGCCGTGTTCTCAGTCGCGAAATAGTCCACGCTGACTACCGTGGTGCACCGTGATGGACCTTTGAAGAGTTGTAAGAATCTTTGACCACTCTTAAGGCATAAGGAATTAGTATCTCCGTGATCTCAGCCACGCTACTGCTTCGGTGACCACCGAGATGCGCTCACGAACTTTTCAAGAACTGCGAGAATCTTTGACTATCGTACTAGCTGCCTTTGCAAGCTAGAAGTCTACAGACAAATATTTTTAGATAGGTCGCATAGCTTCTCCCTTGAGAGCTGGATCGAGAGTTAGAGGGAATTACCATAGTACAGACGCCTTTCCATGTTTCACGTCGACACTCGACCGTAAGTTCGACTCCATACGGTCCGTTGAGCGACATCTTCCAGTAAGCGCAACAATTCCAACAGTAGGAGACCTCACTACACCGCAATCTGATGCATCAGGTCTGTCTTCTCTCATGGGGATTATCACAGCTCCTTCGGTGCTGCCAAAAGGGGCGGTCAGCACCCAATATCGCTCCTGTCCTATAAATTATTTTATTAAGCCTTCGCTTTGAATCTTCCATAAAATACCGTAGCACTGAAATATATAACAAATTATAGAATGGAAACGTAAGCATTCTGTTGCGTAAGCATAAAATAAAAGTTATAGTGTTCGCACTGACACTATTCATTACACAACACGTATGCGTAATACCTTAATCGAAAAATAATAACGAAAACTGGTTGTCAAGACCAATTTGTCGTTTTGCATACATTTAATGTCTTTACTGTTCCGGCTGTCTGTTCTCATGCCATAAAAAAACCTAAAAAAAGTTAATATACTTTCTGTTGAAAGGTGAATGTTTCTTTCAAAGTGTTCACACTCAGTAATTAAAATTAATGATGTATTAAGAAGTTTTTCTGGGTTCAGGACAACAGTCCAGTTGAATTGTAGATAATTTGTATATTACTTGACAAGCAATAAACAACTGCTTAGCGCTTCTAACTGTGAACTAAATATGGTACAGATATGTATTCACTGAGATGCCCTTAACCTTTTTAACCCTAATGCTATAAAATGCAACCATAGTATGCGCTGCTACGTTGGTGTTGCAATCCCAGATTGGTGAGACTCTTTTTGTTTAATCGGGCGTGTGTCAGTTTAAATAAATTTTAGAGCAATCCTGCAGTGCTATTATAAGAGAAATGGAGGCCTATAAGTCACGCTTACATGCCATAGCTGAGCCTCTTTTTTTTTGAGTTGTGGGAGGCGTTCCATATTTTTGCTCACGGACACTCCTAGAAGAATTCCATTTAAAAGAAATTTCACGTACTTGCCCCTTATTGAATGTACGGACTCACGAAACCCTGGACTATTGAATAATTTATCTGAAATTTTCCAACGTAACAGATTAAGTTTAAGAAACAACTAACCTGACCTATGGATCATGGTAATCCCGACATCGATCATGCTGAACAGAGCAATGACCCGATTTCGGCACTTGTTTCAGAAAACATAAGAAAATGCACAAAGACGTTTTCAAAAACCGAAAAGATGAGATAGCTGACACCTTAAACTTATCAAGAAGGCAGTGTATTTACTTATATTGCGTGGGCATTTTCATCCATGAGAAAGCGTTCTTAAAACTAGGTGTTGCCCTTGCTCACTTTTGATAACAACGTCTCGATGACCTCGAGCGCTATTTGTCACTGTTTTAGGCGAAATAAAACCGATTGTTCCATTCAATATGTGATATTGGATCAAACGTTGATTCATCATTATATTCCAGAATCAACTCGGTAGCTAGACGGGTGGGCAGCCGTCCAAAGCGACAAGGAAGACTAGTGTCACTAAAACAAGTACAACTTGTAATCTCATTATCGAAACGTCATTAAATTTTGACACGTATTACTTAAAAAGATTATTACTACCCAGAAATCATATGGGTTAGGCGACAGTGTTGCCAAATGTATGTTAGACCGGAGACATATTGAGTCATGTGATACATTTTAATTTTTCCAATTACGCTTCTGATGTAATGACAAATTGCATAAAAATATGATTTGTAATATCGTTTATCAATTAAGTGATGACGCAAACTTCTTGGAACAGTGAAAACTTTTTTTGTATTTAAAGGAAAACACTGTGTTACTGACAAAGCGCAAAGCGTAAGATCTCCACCTTATGGGAAGACGATCCTTCCAATGAATTTCCAACTCTTTATTTGCTCTTATTTAAAAAAAGCTCTATTACTATGTGTCTGAGGATGAATCGAAACCTATTAACGCTGGAATGCCAGCAAATAATGTACTGTAATGTACTAGAGAGGTTTGTTGATCACACCATTCCCTTCGTTTCGAACGTCAACCTTGCACACTGATGGTGCATTCACATGATTGAAGAAGTGGACGTTCAAACCAAATTAAAACGAGTCCGCATAAGTTGCGTTCACTCTTCAAAACCGAAGAATATACATCTCTAAAAGTAAACAACGGTGTTTTTCCACGAGTGAATGACATTAAGCATCCATTGGAAGGGCGCTTTCAAGCTGAGTCTCCGACCTTTTTTCCTATAGTCCTGTAGTCCCTAAAAGGGTTACTGACCGACTAAGCTACTTGGAAAGCCTCCAAAATTAGTCTTTCAAAACCCATAACAACACATATTCGCATACTAGCTGCCAGGCATTATACGATATCTTGAAAGATTAATTTGTATTTTGGAACAGATTTGAACAAAAAAATGCAGCTCAACGCCATCAAATAACTTACGTAAATTTATGTGTTTGTTACTATGTAAACGAAGAGATAGATGAATACAAATATATTGAGGTCTCGCGACATCTGAGACACGAAAAGTTTCTGCTTTTCAATAGACGCTATTACCTCCTGAAAAAGATGAATATCACACTTGGGAATCCTGCTTGGACACAAGGTCTAAGACTTCATTCTTTCTTATCTAACTTACGCAATCAAAGGCTGAACATAATCTATCTAAGACACCGCGCAAACTTCCCTACAACAACCGAGAATATAACTCTTTTCCGGTCACTTACATACACACATTCATAAAAAATACTCATATTATCTAATTCGAGAATGTAGAAAAACATTTTTCATTCTTCTTCTGTCCTATAGTTTATTTATAAACCGTTTTTAATTTTTGATACGCTGTTCCCATTAATGTTTGAAGCTTTTACGAAATTAAAAATTCATTTGTATTCCAAATTAATCATTGACGAGGCTCATGTGAACTTTTGTAATTTTGCTTTGTTTTTTTTCTACCCTATCGTAAGTAAACAAATGACTTTTCCCATGCGTTTAAGTTATATTTAAAAAAACAACAATTGTAAATATTTTAAATAACTTGGATTTTTCAAAACAAACAACGAAATAAAAGCGAATATTAAGCACTTATTGCATATCATCTTTCAATTAAAGATGATAGTCTCAAAGGCGCCTAACGAAATATTCATGAATTCGCATTTTTTTTGGCAAAGCTATAAACGCATAAATCGCAGTCCCATCAACGTGTCGACGGACAAATAGAAAGACATGTACGCGGTCCGGCTTTCCGAGATTCGTACTTGGTCAAATCAGGAAAAGAATGCGCACACAGTCAAATAAAAGTCGAAACGGATGGACGGACAAACTTTATTCTCATTATTGAAAATTTCGTTGTTCGACTTCACTCTTCTTCCCTCTCTGTCGTCTTTCAAGCAATTGTATTGATGTGTGTCAATTGTGTACGTTAGAGGGAATATTGAATAAATCGAAAATTTTTTGACAGTCCTTTCGTGCGACGAACGAACGAACGAACGAACGAACGTAGGTCATGACAGAATTAGTATATCCTTAATATTGGGGTGATGGTGGTGTTGGCCATAAAAATGGAAAATTGCATAGCACAAACAAAAATAAAAGCAAACGCGCAAACACACACACGCATTGCAATATAACTGCACCTAATTTGTATTGTTCTTGCGACAAGCATCAATGGATTTCAATTTAATTAATTGCAACTAATAGAGGACGAAATGCACTTTGGGTGTAACGCGAGCAATAAAATGCGAAAACATTTATGCAATTAATTCTTTTCATTTTAAGTTCGAATTCAGTTTTACTTAATTATTTTATTGATTTATTTTTTTAATTTTATTATTTTACAACCGTTTATTGATTTTTTTGTTTTTTTTTTTTTTAAACTTTCAATTTAGCAAACGTTACGGTTGGACTTTTCTTGATATTTTCTATCCGAAAACTAAGACTGTTCCCCCGAATAATGTACTCGACAATAAGCCGACCGTTGTCGCACCGAAAGTGCCTGAGCCTGCAGCCAAACCGGCTACTACCACTGTAACAGTTACTTTAAAACCTACAAATAAGCCCACCCCAACAACACCAGCATCCGTTACTTCTCCAACACCCCAAAAACCCTCTTCTTTACCAACACAACAGCCGACAGCGACAAAACCCGAGATACCAGCACCGTTAGCGAAACCAAGCCCCGAACTCCCTACACCAGTCACTCCTGTTAGTGCTCCTGTTCTTCCTGTTGCTTCTACTATCCCTGCCAATACACCCGCAACACCGTTAGCTCCGTTTGCACCAAAAAAATCGAATCCCTTCTTGGAGAATGGTGACGCTTCCTTGAAAGATGCTTTGGACAAGAAACTTATGCAAGCTTCCGATACTGTGGAAACTGTGAAAAATGATCTTAAAAATGCTACCGCCAATTTTTTGAGCGGCGAATCATCTGCACCGTCGCCAACTAAAAATATCAAGCCATCGAAATCCAGGTAAGACAAACAACTTAACCAAATTACTCTCTACGACCTTTATCTTTTATATTTATTTAGCATTTATTGTTTTTATATTTTTGATTTCCATTCTTGCTTTTTTTTTTTTTTTTGGGCAGAAAATTACCGGAAAATTGAAAAAAAAGCAAAAAAAAAATCCTCAAGAAATTTTTTAATTTTGTCATAAAATATCATTCTTCTTTCGTTTTCTCTCTACACTATGACAAAACCCACAAGCAACTGAAAATTTTCTAATTATATACGAGTAAGTGCGGTACGTGTGCGTGCATATGCGAATGCACTTAGGGTATGCATAAGTTCAATAACCCCAGTGAGATGCTAAAAATTACACAATTTTTATGCATAATGATGATGATGATCATCATCAGAGGCAAATATATATAATGAAAAAGCCGGCAAATGGTAAAAATTGTCGCCAAGCAGCACAAACATTTCCTTTTTCTTTTTGGATTCCTTCGCTTTGCAACGTTCAGCTTTTTGATCAAATCTAAAATTAATTTAATTTCTTGGAGACCGAGCGAACGCGTTTAGCACAAGTTAGACGTGCTATACGCATTATGCATTCTATGCGCCAACGCATTTCAATCTTAATATAGATTTCTCCCGAAAGTAAGATGGGGTGCCTGCCTGCCATACTCTGTATGACCAAAAATTTTTGCTCGACTGCTGCTTAACTTTGTTTTTTTTTTACTTTTCTGAATAATTTCAAATGTCTCCTCATCGTCGCCGATTTTACGATTACCATTACAAGCAATTGGTATCGTTTTAAATGAAATGCTTGCAAAACCTATTTAAAGAACTGTTCGGAGAAGTAATTAAACTCTGGTGAATTTCATTTTTGATTTTGTTTTTTTTTCTCTGCCTTTCATTTATAATTTTCATTTTTCATAAAAGCGAAGAAGAACAAAATGAATGAGTGAGCGAAAAAAAGAACAATGTTAAAGTAATGCGAAAATAATTCTTGATGAAACAACTTTCATTTAATATATATCGAAGAGATTTCTATTTAATATTTGGCCATAATTTTTTTAAATATCCACCAAATTGCTGCAGGAAAGGAGTACAAGAACGTTTATTATATAGTTTTGTTCACTAAAAGTACCTATAAAAAAGATATCGGATATATTTAATATTGTGACCTCAGTGCGACATAGTCGCAGTTCTATTAAAAAATCATTAACAGAAGACAGGTTCAATAATTTTGTCATAATATTGCCTTGCTTCCCCTTCTTCCTTTTCGAAAGGGAAAACAAATAAAAGACGATCAAGCAGCAGAGCTTCTAACAATTTGTTTTCTTTCTTTTAAATACATATTCGGTTTACAATCTAGCCAAAAAGACGCTAAGTGAATGTTATACGAAGATGAGTAAAATAACAGAGGTTATTGTCCATAATGGACACCATATTACATTATGGATATGAACTGTATAAACTTGTAAAATTCATTAAAATAATTTAAAGGATAAAATTAAATTAATTCCTAAATGGAAGATCCATGATGCATGAAGTCTTCCAGAAGAGATATATTGCAAAAGGACTTATGCGATAGTTCATGTTGCGCATATCAATATTACTGTCATTACTCGGCTAATTTGGCTGCTCCGAATAGGTTGAAGGACACTCTTCTATAAAGTGCACCTATCTCTTCGATTAGCCGATAGGGTCTTTTGGTTTTTAACTCAAGTCGCTGGCGCTTACCTATAATCTCACCTATAATTTCATGTTAGCCTTTGCTTAGTAGTAGGGGCTCACATGTACAGTAATGCGCAGCAGTGTCAACGTACACAAGGATTAATTTTGATGATTTTAACCTTACTCTTCATAAGATAACAGTTCTCCAGCTAGTATTATTGAGTTATTCAATGTATGCCGACGCTAATCAGGGTGCGCTAAAAATTGCAATTTTCGACATTCATTACTTTTGCTCTTTGATTCGAAGAAAGCTGCTGCCGAAGATCACCGAACACTTTCAGAAGGTTGTGATGATGCTGCTCCAACACACTTCAATTATTGGTCTTGGTTCCGCCCAGCTTAAAAATGGTGATTTTTATGTCAATGACGAAGAACGCCCTGGAGGACCTAACGAAACTCGAAGTCAATGAATTGCAAGATTTATTGGACACCCACTCAGCTCGAACTTTCAAAAAACTTTCGAACAGCTTAGCAGTTGACGGGTGAACTGTCTCTTGACGTTCACACACATGGGATGGAGAAAAATCAACAAGGAAGGAAAATGGTGCTGATGCAAATTGACCGAAAATGCTATTTCGAATCGTTTGAACATCGCGATCTCATTGCTTGCCAGGCAAAAAAACAATACTTTTCTGGGGCCTATCGTAACTGGCGATGAAAAGTGACTCTACTACGACAATTCCAAGCGCGAAAAGTTCTAAATTAGTCCAGGAGAGCCATAACGTCTTGCTGTGCATGTGATGGCATTAGTAAAGTGTAGTGTATTACAAGCTGCTACTGCAGATGAAGAAATTGAATGATGTATTGTGGCAAAAAAGATCGACAGACACAAAGTCATCCTCTTGCATGACAGCGCCCGGCCACAAGTTGCAAGGGTTGTCAGGAATACACTGACTCGCAACTCGATTGGAAAGTTCTGCCGCACCCAGCGTACTTGCCAACAACAGCACCTTCCAATTACCACTTGTTCAATCCGATGCAGCATGCCTTAGCTGGCACGCGGTTACGAAATGCTGAACAAGGGGGGAAATGGCTCGATGATTGAATGGCAGTGTAGAAAATGATTGGAAACATTTTGGTTAATATATGTTGTACCAATTCGAGAAATAATCAAAATACATGCAAGCACCTAATAAATAAGTCAAGATATTTTATGCAGTTGTGAACAGGGGGGGGATAGAGGGGATATAATTGCCATTCGAAAATAATGAAGGAGAAGAACTCTTATTCAACGTAAACGTAATGTGCGTAGGGTTCCCAACATTTATTTTGATATTCCTTTGAGATGAATTTGTAGTTAGTGGGAAACATTAATGCAATCACTAGATGAAAATCCGATTATTGTCAACGCTTGGGAAATTTGAAATGCAAATTGCAGAAAATTTTAGACTTGCCATTTTATATATATGTATTCGATCTGCCAATTTCAATTTGAACTTACAAATGACAAATGGGGAAACTCTTACATGTCCTTCGAATTGAGAATTATTTCACACTATGATGTAAGTCGATTCACCTGTTTAGGTTTTGTTGAATAAGAAGCTGCACGTATAATACGTGGCTCTTTTCTCCCCGCATCTTATTTCACTTCATTTCGCACTGTAGACTGAACCATTCCTTTCATGCCTTTTTAAAAGATGCTTTTATCGATCCTTTCTAATTTTAACTAACGTATAATTTCAAAAGCTAACCAACAGATGTTCCCATTCGCCCAATCGTGAATCACTTCATTTAATCCTCGCCTGTTTTTGTTGCATCGTATGAGAACACTAGTCTTTTATACGTGGAATATACACAAATATTATCTAAGTCTTTTATGGACTTACAACTAATCACGGCGTTTAATGAAAGATAGGAATATTTTTGTGTGCCAGGAGTGCAAATTAATTTTATTTTTAGCTTTAGAAATAACAACAACTATTGGATTTGAAATAAATTTTCGATCCGCTTCAATGAAAATAATTTGGAAATTTTCTTTGTACCTCTGGGGCTTTTTCATTTACTCAACCGTGCTAAATGTCTATTATCTATGCATTCAAAAGCGCCTTTCCGCTAAAAGTGCACGCGTCAAGGTTTAGGTTTCGAATCGCGTTATTGCCACTTTCGAAATTTTGTATTTAAAAGACGGGACAAGCTTAACAAAGTATTTTTTTTACCGTGTACAGTGTTTCCGCAGCCAGGAATGTCTTATTAATGGATCGATTGAAAAAAAGATGAGACCATAAAAAAAGTTTAGAATATTTTCATTTCCGATGATTTCTATTGAATGATGAGACATTTTCTAGAAGTCTCGCAAACTTCCCATCTATAGCCTTTTTCTGACAGAGAACCAGACTTGTTCCGAGCGCTCAAAACCGGGAGACCGTACTCCTCTGTTACGTAAACGCTGTGTTATACTTTCACGAGATGAAGTCATGGTAAGTCATCCGAAAAAATTGTTTTCAACAAACAACTACCTTCTCCTTTTTGCTAAAGCTAAAGCTGCTCTTCGAAATTTCAGGTAATACTTACTGTATTTTACATTGAGAAAGAAAAACCAATGCCACAGCGACCCGGACAACTGAGCTTAGTTGCGAGTTTGCGAGTGCTCGTTTATTGTGTCGAAAAAGACTCTCATGATCGTTAGAAAGTCTTACCCAAAAAGTTTTGAACTCTCGAGTCAAATAAATCCTTACCCATACTACCTAAACCATATATTAATTCAATCATTTTTTTACTAATGGCATTTCTTGGACATTGATTGTCTTCGCCGTTCCTAGCATAACCGAATTTGCATACTTTGTATCTTTGTGTATCCATTTTGCGTTTCACAAGGAATTTACTCTTTGCAGGGTTTTCAATATTTCCCGTTAAATAATAACACTGCCACTCATTTTACTCAATTCCGTTCTTTCGAAAATGCATTGCAAAGTGAACCTGAACCAGTACTGGCATAACGCACGAAACCTTAAAATGTAATGATTTACATAATTCTCTCAATAGTAACAACAACAATGAAAAAAAATATATTCAGTCAACTTTTATACCAATCACCTCAAGACGGCAAAAAAGTAAAAGAATTAAATTTTCATGCTCTATATATAATATATATGAAGTAGAGGCGCGTGGGCGTTGTAGGCGTGGGCCTTGGAAAAGTTTAGGTTACATTCAAATTCCTTTGCAAATTTATAAGTGATATCTCCATTATATGCTTACTATACATTTGCGCGGATAGACAGACGGACAAATTTGAAACTGGCGAAGAATTTATGTGCTTTATAAGGGTTTTGAAGCTTGCTTTTGCACCT